GGTCGCCGCGCCTGCCGCTCCCCTGCCCCCTCTCGCCCGGGGCTGCTGACAAGTGTGGTAACCCTGGCTCCCTTGCAGACACTGGGCAGGGCACCGGCAAGATTTCTGCCTTGGCGCGACTCATTCTCCACGCCCCTAGCAGCACGGAGGGACCCCGGAGCGTCCGGACGCCCCATGCGACTGCCCAGAGCGCAGGGCCAGTGGGTATCTCTCTGCTCCACCTAGCTCGCTGGAATTCGGCGCTGCTGACAAGTGTGGTAACCCTGGCTCCCTTGCAGACACTGGGCAGGGCACCGGCAAGATTTCTGCCTTGGCGCGACTCATTCTCCACGCCCCTAGCAGCACGGAGGGACCCCGGAGCGTCCGGACGCCCCATGCGACTGCCCAGAGCGCAGGGCCAGTGGGTATCTCTCTGCTCCACCTAGCTCGCTGGAATTCGGCAGCCTCCCTCCTCTCTCCCCTGCTGGCGCTTCCCTCGCCCCTCTGAGCTTGGCCTCTTCCGCACGCACCCAGGCTCCGCGGGCAGGGACGGAGCGACGGCTGGCTCTTCTCCTGCTCCTGCGGCGCCTCCTCTCCCGCTGCCCACCTGCTAGCAGCAACAGCCAGCCAATGCGCTTATCCCACAACCCCCCCACTTTTTCCCAGGGGGCAGCAGCCCCCGCTGTCCCCACTCCTATGGCCAGCACCTCCAACTTCCCACAAAACCTGCAGTCCAGCCCCGCGTGGCCAGCCCCAGCGTCTGCGGCACAAGGAAACCGCAGGGGACGAGGCGTTGAACCGGGACACCTGCTAGCAGCAACAGCCAGCCAATGCGCTTATCCCACAACCCCCCCACTTTTTCCCAGGGGGCAGCAGCCCCCGCTGTCCCCACTCCTATGGCCAGCACCTCCAACTTCCCACAAAACCTGCAGTCCAGCCCCGCGTGGCCAGCCCCAGCGTCTGCGGCACAAGGAAACCGCAGGGGACGAGGCGTTGAACCGGGATTAACTCAGCGAGGGTGGGACCCGCGGCCAGGCTCAAGGCAGGAACTCAAGTGTGCTCTAGGCCAGGCAGAAGGCAGGGACCACTCGCCAGCAGAAGGGGAAAGGCAGCATTGGCTGGGCAGACTCTGGCGCTGGCTTTGGGCTGCCCTCGGGTTCCGGGGGAAACGCTGGTCCCCACCCCCCAACGGCTGCGATTCCCAGCCTGTAACCCTGCTGGCCCTTGTGTCTTGTCTGCAGTTCCCTTCCCCGGAGTGGGACACAGTCACCCCCGAAGCCAAAAACCTCATCAACCAGATGTTAACCATCAACCCGGCCAAAAGAATCACAGCCCACGAAGCCCTGAAACACCCGTGGGTCTGCGTAAGTGTCGCCGCCGCCCCTGCGCAGCC